ACTGTGCAGCACTACTCTTTCATCCGTCGGTTGATTCTGCCATAAGCAAAACCAGAGGGGTTGTCAATTTCAATTTATTTGACATTTACACAAAATGAGGTCCATGTATGCTAAAAATTAAAGACAATGTGTAATGAGAAGGTCGACAATGTTTTGTCAACATGCTCTAAGTCATTACCATTTTTTGCAGTAGGTTTATACATCAACACCTGCACTATCAATTTGAAAGACAATCTAAACAAATATCTGGTTATCAATAAGCTAAATTATGCGCTCATAAACAAAAGGAGACATTCAAACAAGTTCCCATCAGCTTATTTCAGCTGTCTGCTGAGCATATGAAATTACAAGTTTATTTCGAATTCATACAATTTGATATGAATTCAGATTAGCTAGATATGCAAAAGCATGATCAGAACCGTCAAAACTGTCAAAAAAATTAAAACTTTGCTCACGGAACTAAACTGAAACTATATTCAGTACTAAACATCTCGCTGTGCAGATATGAACACAGCTATCAAGTACCTTAAAAATTTTAGATCAATAGAAATTCTAAGATGCAGTCTTCAAGTTTCTATAAGTGCCATTTTTTCACGGGTCCTCAATTACCAAACGATCATCCAAACAAATCCATGCCATCATGTTATCCATCTTACATTCGGCCAAGATACAAGAAATCTTTGCATAACATCCACTGATTCCAAGCTCATAGAAACGCCATTAGAATTTGACAGATCATCAGTAACCAAGTTAATAAATATTCTGCCATCGATATCATAATATACAACCTTCTAAACTTTTTGTTTTTTTTTTACAAAGGATAAGTGATAAAGGTCGAGTTTTCATCGAAGAATCTTGCAGTGATTTTCTTTAAAAACTAAGCTAGCTAGCACATTTTTTAAAATTATAATTCAATTCCAAAAGCTCACTGTTATGCCACTGAAAGATGTTTTGTGCATGACATTTTTTAGTCTAATGTTCTTTGTTTCCTGTGAATGTCCACACAAAGGAGCATTCCTAAATATTATCTTGGGATCATTAACTGCATCAATGATCTTTCAACTTATACATTAAATCATCTAATTTCAGAATATCAAAAGATCTACTCCTTGCTAGTTGTCCAGTATAAGTTTTGAATCTTATGGCCAACAAAACTCTCTCAAACACCATAACCATTAAGAACATCATTGCTTCCATGTCACATCAATTCACATTTGTGTACATTTAAGAGACAAGGACATGGTCAATCACTCTTTTATATATGGAGAAACCACCAGTGTTTTTGACACTACCAGCAACTGAATACACTTGGTTGAGAAATGAATACATAAGAGATCCGAGTTATAATCACCATAGGCCAAGATAAATTCATAGCATACTGATGGCAGTATCATAATTTTAATTAATATGACATTTAAAGTAATGCATATGCACATTTAACTTTTGTTCGGTTTGTTTATTGTTTAATTCCATGAAAACTGAACAAAGAAACAAATTTGTACATCTCTCAATAACACTGTTAATAGAAAGATTATTTAGAAAATATAGCCTATTTGTGGGATAATAGTCAATGGCAGAGTAGTCATCTTCTGACAGATACGATGAAGAGAAAATGGATGGCATTTGTTATTTCATAGAGTTACAGAGTTGCCGTACCAACAGTGTTTGCACTTGGATAACCATCTCGCCATTAGATGGTTGGGTCACACCTGAAGCTACCAAAGTTGTGTGGGGATGCTGTTTCAATGTAGTTCTTTTCAGGAATTTCATCTCTAGACTACAAGGATGATTGTTGGGTTCGTAAAGGGGGCGACAAACATATTGTTTACCTCAGGCATTCGATCCAATGACACACTGTTCACTTGATCATGCTTCTGACTCGGTTCCCCTTGAGCGTTTTGTTGCAGAGAACTTCTGGGGCTCTCATCATCTCTCCCACAAGCTGGTTGAGGATCTGCATTTATGTGCTTCTGAAAGAAAGCATGAAGATTTCCCTTTCGGAAATGTTACTCCAAGAAACATATGATAAGGTTAAAAGATCTCTGTGTATGCCATGCAAGAAAATGAGATCACAAGTGGTTGATGTGAACG